AAAGCTACAAAATGAAGGAGGCATTTACAATTCAAACAGTAAAAAGATGTTTAGCTCAAGCCCTACTGTAGATGAACTGCCGCGACCCCAAAACTTCCGGACTCGCGGCTTCGGGGGTTTCTCTAAGCGTAGAGGAGAAGTTAGCGGCAAAAATTGGGAGGCGAACGGTGATAGTACCTTAGCAGGCGTCTCCGGGGTGACCCAGCCTTGGCAGGACAGCGTCAGAGAAGACGATCAATGGAATAAGGCTAAAGGTGCCAGTGACTATAGCCTTAGACAAATAACGAAAGATAATTCGGAAGGACGAGTAGATAGCGATAATAATTATGAAGGCAAAAAGTCTTATAACGGGATTGGTGACTATAGACAAAAAGGGCGCGGGTAATAATTTTCAACGTAAGTTTACACCCCCCAATTACGACGATGCCGCTTTCAACTTGAGCGACAACGGGGAGGATTGCCGAGATCGTTACCGACGCAACAACTTTACACCTAGCTTCGGTGCTGATTACAAATGGAACGACAATAAAAACGCTCGAGGGTCCCAATACGGTCCCAATAATTACACTTTAGAGACAGGTCATTATGATTCGAGCTGTAATATGGAAAGGAGCGAAAAAGATTGCGCAAGTGAGTATGGACGCCCAGTTTTTGTACCTGATTCCGATGAGATCACTTGGGATGGAAGCCATACTAATAATTACAGACGCGAAGGTGCGGACCCTAGTTATGACCAAAATAAAAAGGATCTCCCGAGCGACCGTAGGCGCGACAAGTATGAAAATGATGGCGGTAGGCGCTGGAACGACGGAAATGGTTTTAGGCAATATAACTATGACTCTAATTATACATCTCAAAAAGGCGGCTCAAATTGGAATTACGACAAGAAAGGCAATAACAATGGGTGCAGTCGTGACAGAATGACACCTATCGACTTAGAAGGTGAGGACTCTAGCTGGTACGACGGTAGAAAAGGTCGCTCGGGTTACGCACGTGAAAAGTTTCGGTCGGAGGCTGACCGCAAAGAGGATGGTAGAAAGTGGGGTGGGGGTAAAAGTCACGTAAACTTTTGCAGCCCCAATGAATCGTGTGGACGTGGTCCAACTAATTGGAATGAAGGTAGAAGGGATCATGTTAACGAATACAGGCGTAATAAGTATATAACCAGCAATGACGTTGAAGTAAGAGGGTATATTAGAAATAAAGATGAATATAGACGTGAGTTCGATCAACGCAGTAATAATTTGCGCAATACTAGATGTGGAAGTAACGATAACTCAGCTTCGGACAAGGGGAGTGACGACCACTATCGTAAGGAAATACTTACGCAAGAACGGAGGACTGGCGTTGATGACCGGCATAACAGCGGGTACGGCCATGGGTACCGGCATTTCGGAGCTGTAAAGTATGAAGAACAGCAGTATGACGACTACTACGTCGCAAAGCACGAGGGCTTTCCAAGTGGTGCATACAAGCCCGCCACTCCCTCCATTAGAAAAGACGGCCGATATAAACCGAGGCATTCTCAAGAGAGGAGCTACCACAAAGGGCAGAACCCCCGAAAAGACGGAGCGTTCGTTGGAGATGAAGTTGAGCACTGCAGCAGACCACCTCGTGAAAAGGACTGGCGGGATTAGCGGTTGCGAGTTTTTCTTGCAATTTGTTAATAAAGTTTTACTTTATTTTTTTACTTATTTTATGCTGTGCTAGTTGAACACAGAAAACAATTGGCTAGATCTATTTTTTTACTTGTTTGAAGAGAGCACCAAACTCCCCCTTTTTTACTAGGCACTGCAAAAACTTGATTATAAAGGGCACAAAATTATGCTGTCGCAATTCATTTTCCTTCTGCGTCACGAAGGTTTAAAGAACGTAAAAAGGAAGTGTGTGTCATGTACTTTATAACGTTCAATTTTGTGTTCTTCCTGTTCTATGCGTTTTTGAAGTTCTATGATCTCCGCTTCTATCTCAGGGGTTTTTGCCTCCTAAACATCAGCACCGAGTAGTTGCTTAGGTCAATGAAATTATAAAGGTCGCGGCAACTCCTACCCTTTTAAGTAATTCGCTAAGCTTTTTAGAGAACTGATCCTTTTGATTTTTAACGATTGCCATTAAGTTAAATCTTAACTCCTTCATTGAAAAGCTATTGTATATAAAAGTTAGAAGAATAGTCTCGCGGGTGCATATAAAATTTCGCTACAGGCCAACCTTGCCATTTTTTTGCTAATTGCTTCACGAGCAACTTTAGTCCAGTCTTCTCCGCACTCTCCTACAACGTACGGCCCTGATTTCAGGCCGTCTAGTTCAAAAACTCTCCCTTGAAGAACCAAGTATATAGAAATGTAAATCAACAAGTAGAGTTCTACCATTGATGGGGACATAAGCGGTAAAGTGAAAGGAGGCTTCCTTGGCCCCGCTACTTTCTACACCTTCAACTAGCATAAATTCTGGCCTAAGCCTTTTGTTTAATAATTAAACCTTAATTTTAACAGATTAAAGACCTTGCAAAACTGTTGTGAATTCTACGAATCCTTTCGTCCCCAATAGCCGTGCCTTTCAACTACAATACAGTAAAATTATATAATGAAGCGGAATACTCTCTAAGAACCTCTGGGGAGAAATCTTTAGTAAAGTCTTTAAATTCTCTAAGAAAAGACCCAATTTCGATATCTTTAGAATTTAACAAAACGGAGAGAATTGCTTGTGTGGCGCAAGCGTTTGTAATAACCTATAAGGCAGTAACAAACAATGCTTATTTATAATTTTATATTTAAAATTATATACCTGCCGAGCAAAATAAATTTCATTGTCAGAGTTCGGGTAAATACCCTCGTTAGGTGTAATACATTGATTCCATTTGAACAAAAAAATAAGACCATAAATTGGATACAAGGCGGCTAGATCTTCATCTTGTAAACTGTGAAGTTCTTCTACCTAAGCTAAAATGAATAGTAATAAGTTAAGTTAATAATAACTAAAACTTAAAACCTGAATTCCTGTGCAACCAAGTTTACTAATAATTTTAGTAAAAACACCTATAATTTATTGTAATGAATTGAAAGAGAGCAAAAGATATTATATTTAATTGGAATTTTATACAAAAATTTCATTAATGAGTGACTACCCGGGTCACTTTCAATTAGGCACCACGACATAACTTTGCAAGGCAAAAGACAGGGACGAAGACACTAACAAAACTGGAGTTATTCTTAAAAGTTATTTAGAAATTCTAAAAATTGACCTCGCAAGTATGCTTAAAGATAAAATTTACTTGCGATGTTAAATCTAAAGTGTCCCTCAATAGACATGAAGACATTTAGGTAGGAGCGTGACATAGGTTATCTCGTAGAAATAGAGTTTAGTCTGCTTAATAAGTGATCAATTGCGCGTTCTGTTTGCCGTACTTCGTTTTTGTATTATAAATTACACGAGCCTTATCTATCTCTACATAGATTCTTTGGATAACCTAATTCTCATTAGGGAAGCCCTTGTATATGTTTAGAAGTTTTTACGACGCCAGTCTACTGTTATTAACTGTGTCTCACACATTTTTAGGAGCTGAACACCAATTTTAACTAATTTTAAAACGTTAATGTCATTTACTCTTAGTTACAAATTCAGATTATTATAAAAATGTAAGTAATGAAATTGATTTTGGTTTCCATACATTCTAATAATAGATTATATGCTCAAGTTATAAAATAAAGTATTTTTGTACCTTATGTAAGCTTAATTATTTAGGAAACAATAGATATAAAGTTATTCCCTTGTTTTTCTTCCTAAATGTTACGTACAAGGCATTATTGTTTTCAATGTCTTGAATTTCTTATCATTATGGCAAATAAGTGGGTAAAGATTACATTATGTAGATTAGGTGATTTTGACTTATTGCAAGTCAGAGGAAAGGAAAGAAAGGGGATCCTTAATATAGCTAAAATTAATTAAATTCAAAAAGTCAATCCTCTTCTGTCACATAGCCTTATAGTAAAACCAAAATCGTCGTTTGTGAATCAGGGAAATAAGTAGGATAGGCTGATAAACGGAAGCTTACTATTTGGAATACCTGTACAAGTTCTTCAGTTTCTTAAGTTACTTTAGCAAGGTGGAAAAGTAGGTTCATTCTCAAGACGTTTTAAATCAATGGTAAATATCATTTTTAAAATAGTAAAATTTACTGCTTTCGACAAATAAATATGAGCTAGCTTTAAATAATTTAACTTAATTTATAACCCTATAAAAAAAAGCGTTAAATAGTTGAAAACGCTATAAACAAGTGTACGAAGGACTAATTTTCCTTTATAACCTCTCTTTTTTTTAATATGATAAAACAAAAAATTCTTACTTATGGTGGGTTGCGTTTCCTCCTTAAGCTACATTACTTAACTTGAGAGGAAGCCTGTTTCGATTTTAGTATGACTTTTTTGACCATCAGCCAACCTCTCTTTTATTTTGTTTCCTCAAAATGTTAGTTTTTGCCCCGTGAACGATAACAATTTAACATTATAACTACACATTTATGGTTATTGTAGTAGCTGCCAGTTTCATAGCGTCAAGGTCTTAGGACACCTAAAGGAGTTCGTCCCATAACTAAATAAAATCTCAATCTAAATCTTAAAATTAATAAATGCTCAAGGTTAACTTAGAACATACAAATATTATAATTACTTATAATTGTTATTAAGTACCGCGGGCGTGGTATTATATATGTGATAGATATATAAGATTGCTTTAACACAAACTTAAAGCTAATGTGTACGCTATCACCATGTTGAGAGCTCGTAAATTCGGTGTTTTCTTTTATGACTCGTTCAATCACCAGGAAATATCATTAGTAAAATAAATAAATATGTAACCTAGGCGTTAAACTAATATTTGGTTATACACAGTGCTCAGTGGACATGCTCATAAAACTTTACTAAAAAGTTATACTAGTTACTGCTAAAACTTGCATGTCTACGTACAACAACGACTGGGGATTTTCTAACCACACTAAGCCAAAGAGGGGAGCTATAGATTAAAAAAAACACGTGATTCATCGACCGTGGGTTTGAGTTGTGGTAGGAGCATTGTCGCGTAATCTCAAGGTCCCGGGTTCGATCCCCGTCGGTACCAATCGCACTTTTATGGTCTGGCGGTTACGTGCACAACTTCCCTGCAAACAAAAAAATTCTGATATAGACAATATTTCGCTGTATAGCGGAGGGGACCAGACCTTTCTATTCAGTTCCTCTCATATATATATCGATTAAAATTTAACACTATTACGGCTCCTAGTTTATAGTGTCAACGTTAATAAGGGCACAGGTTATGTATATAAAAGTTGTTTTGATTCCTCGCCACTACTGTTTTATTATATGCCGCTCCAACTTATTTGTCTTTAATAGTTTTTAAAGAGTGAGTTAAAGCGTTTAAGGTAAAAAGAATTTGCACCCATTAGCTTAATATTTACTCTTTTCTTTAAGACACATTTTGGAAGAGAAAATTTTTTTACTACGAAAACTTTTAGTTAAAGTTAAGATGTTTTAGATAACAGTTTTTTCTTTAAACTTTGTAATTCTATGGTTTCGTTTGCCGTAATAAGTAGCAGAAATTAAAAAAAAAATTTTATTATACTAATTAAAATTCACTTTTTCTTGCTTTAAAGATTCGAAAAGATCAAAATTTTATTATACAAAGGATAAAAATTAAACAAATACTTAACTTTACTAAATGCAACTTAGCGCAAAGGGATCCTTCAAATTATAGAAAGTGCCAAAACTGCTTTTTAGTCTTGCTTCTAAAAATAAGTCAATCTTTTGGCCAAGTAGATTCCTAAGCATACAGGTAGGTTGCTAGCAGAAGAGGTGCGTAGGAAACTTACCATATATCTTTAAAGACTACTCTCTTCAAACTTGTCTTTATTGCCTTTTCTAACTCTTTAGCTAGTGATAACTTTTTAAAATTGCAGTTGATACTCATATGAGTCAGATTTTCCACCATATCTCCAATTTTAAGACTAGATAAAACCGCTGTGCACAAAGTTGTTTTCAATATATGTATATATATTATTATCACTATTAAATTGGCGGCTGGCGTAAGTTACGGTGGTAACTAATTTGGTAAAACTGTTTACATCCTTTTTTTGCTCACCAGAATAACTTAACAAAATTATCAAAATTAGTTCTTTCTTTTCTATATAGAAAATTTTTGTTTAATAACTTACCGATTGCAAACTCTTAGCCTTATAAATAAGGTAGTTGTCACTGATATAATTTGCACATAAAACCATTTTAGACTTAATACTAAAACATAATTTTAAAGCTTTATATATAAAGAGTTTACCTTTCTTAGAAACAGGATCACAAACAGTTAAGCAACCTGCTACGGAAAGCTGAATGCGAAAGTTAAACTCACAAGTAAAAGAACCTGTTCGAGGAATTAGTTTATCGAAGGAACTATCATATTGAAATATATTCTTAAGTTAAGAATATAAGAAACCTATGGTAGCCACTTTTACAAGCTTTGAAATTAAGCTATTTTCACAGTTTGCAAACACGGAGGCTGAATCATAGCGTATCTTAAAGGGCTGACTGTTATGGATTGAAAGCAGACTACTGGCTGCTGTCTTATAAGTAAACAGCCCTCCGGGAAGTTTAGGACATACTGAGTTTTGAACTTTTATAGAGGTTAAAGGGGGTTATGTTACCCTATTAATTAGCTATAATTTTTTATAAAAATAATTTATTACTTACCAGCTTCGTTGAAAGAGAATTTCCCCGATAATGACAATTTTATCGTGTCCCATTCAGTAAGTAAGAGCGGATTCAGTTTTATGTACTGCCTGGTGCATACGCCATATATTTTTTTGCATGGCTTTTTCCAATAAGACTTGCAGGGGACTTCTAGCTCGAAATCACCAAATTTGTAAAAGATCCCTAAAACCGACATTAAGGGGAATTTAAAATATTTTCAACTATAGTTAGCCAAAGTAAAAAAAGTTTAACCTTTTGCAATTATTTGCCAAAAGTTATTGAGCAAAGTTAATAAATTTTCTAAAAAATTTTGTAAGCGTTAATTAAAATAATAAAATTTTACGTATACATCATCTAAAATGAAAACATACTTTCATATCCTACTGCAACTTCTAATGAAGGATCAGGCAAAGGTGTAAAAGAAGGACATATTGTTGCTGATGCTGATACTGAAGGATTAAAGACGGGTAAAGTAAACTCGCTCCAATCGATTAAATCGTCCTCCTCATTCTCTAATCCTACCTCCACACCACTTTCCCAAACCCCTAATAATATTATATAAAAGAGAGCAAACATAATATTATGTCTTCTTTACTTCAAAATACACTTCTTATAAAGGTTAACACACCTTCGATGACAGGAATTACAGGTTTAGGCACTTCAACTGTTAAAGTATCATTAGTTTTGTTAATCGCAAGAGAAACGTTGACTCCAACCAAAGGTAGCTTGGCATCTACGTTAACATTTGTTTCCTCTGTGTATAAGTATGTATGTAAGCAGTAGTCATTCACTTTTAAGTTCATAGGCATGTATTATAATTTGTGGATGGAAGGGTAAATTTACTTAGGTGTTTAAGGTAAATACAATAGTTAGATATCTGTTCATAGATAAAGATATTTTCTCTTTAATCAAAGAAATTGCTTATAAGGCATTATAAGTATCTTAAATGTAACACGTTTTTTAGCGCTTAAAAATTAATGTAAATTTAACAAAATTACAGCTACCGATAGGGGGGTCGTCTTTGCTTATAAGTAATCCTTCTATGTCGTAGCGCCCTCCTTTATAAAAAAACCTATTAACAAGCAACTAACATTAAAAAATTAATAAGTTTTAAAACCTTTTTTACTCAAATAGGCTTCAGTCATATTTGAAAAATTAAAACTTTCTGCTCTCACATTTAGTATTGCAAGCAAGAGAACGCGGATAATAGAAATTAAAAGGCAAGAAGTCAACATATCCTTATAGATATAATAGAATTGTAGTAATAGCAATTTTATTAAATAGTTCTACGTAATTTATTTTTATAATTTAAATTAGCTTTCGCCTTATAATGGTTAAAAAGACGTTATAAACACTAATTTCTTTATTTTAAATTAACTTAATCACTATTGCTTTTATAGTAAGCTTATAAATTATACAAAGGCTGCAGCTTTAGTAGAAGAAGTGAAATTTAAAGGAATTTACTTACTTGAAAATTAGGAGATTACACGATACACCTTTCTAATAAAAGCACCTAGGTTTGTTTATCGTTCTTAAATAAAAAAGAAAGTACTAGTAGTAATAAAATTTTTAAAGAGTAACACAACCTCCAAAAAAGGTAAAGTCAAAGAGGGAAATAATTTCCTTATTTGATAGTATCTGCTGTTGTTGTTATAATAAGGATAAGACCTGTATTCTTACGTATCTGCAAACACGAGGATATATTGTACTGCCCGCGTATAATTCCTTCAATATGCCGCTAATAGTTCTATCTGCCTCAAAATAGATTAATTTCAATACAACACAAGTTCTATATTATTTGGTGCGTTAGCATGGAAAACTATTTTTCGGGACCTGAATAGATAATTACACACAACCACATTCTATGCATCCTCACTAGTAATATTTGGTCTATCAGAAATGATTTATAAATATTCACACAACCTTCTAATTCGTTATAAAAGTAAGCCCCCCGCGCAATAAACGACAGTTATAGGTGTACGTACCATTATTAATAGGACTCCCCCATATGCTTGGTCATTAAGTGCACCAACAATTATGGTGGTACTGCAAGTACAGAAAACAAACTATTGCGACTGCAGATAAGTGCGCCGTACTTTGAGAGCAACGGCACGCAACTCTATGTCTATTCGACGAGCAGTCATAGTTGCTTACCAACGAGTGGGAGCTCTTCTAAATTGCTAATGAGCAAAGGGCTTTCACACAATTTTGAATAACACTGTGTTTTTATTATGTGCTTTAAGCACAATTTTATATGCTTTTTGCTCTTTTGCACAAATTAAAAATTATTACTGCATAAATTAAGTGATGAGTGTGCTCAAAGATACCCAATACATACTAAAGGTCATCCATCAAAAAAATTGCGTGTTTTTAGCTTTTTTGTTATTAATGGATGTATTAAGAAATTTTATTAATTAAAGTTCAGGATACTCTTAGCTTAATAGACTATCTCGCCTCAACTTTTTTTAGCAAGATAAATTCTACTCAGCTCGCGGTTTATTAGCTAAATAAAATTTTTTTTACTCCAGAACTGACTCGGAGACGATGGAACTGACCTAATTTATTATATAACACGAAGAAATTTCATACAAAACAGGAATGTTATTGTAAAATTAAATGTACTCTTCAACCAAGCGGCCAGCCCCCCTTATAATTTTAGCGATTTTTTGTTCCCGAGTCTCATCAGCGAGGCCTTGACTAGAGTGCCCAGACTCAAGCACTTTAGAATGTCTTTAAAGGCGATGGTTTTGAAGTAAAGCGACAAGGAAAGCATGGAAAAATCTGGACCGCGAAGCAAGTAACTTGTACTCCAGTTCCTCCCGAATGCGCTGCTGGCCGAGGCCCACGAGGCGTTTCTCAAGGTTAGTTATCCGGGAGACCTTTTGAACTAGTCTCTTCTCAGCAACGAAATGGTAAAACTTGAGCTGCGCGTTCTGTTCTACTAGCTAGCAGAGAAGCATAAAACCAAAAATGGGCAAGGGAGAGCAACCAGATAAGTATAAAGCTAGAAAAACCTTCTCAATGACCCGAGTGAGCTTTCGAATAGTTTTTCCTACCTCACGACGCTGCATCAGAAGACGCTTAGTGAACTCTACCTTACTGTTGAGCTCTCCTCTTGACTGCAAGAGAAAAAAGTAATAACAAGATTGGAGGAGTGCAAAAAGCGGAGTAACTTCTTCAAGTTGGCATCTGAGCTCACTAGCAACAAGTTCAATGCGCTCCTTTTCACAAACCAGCTTCTCAAAGGTCTCCTGGATGGCGTTACAAAAACATACCTTATGTACAATATAGTTACTATTAGAAGTTCCCACAAACTTCAATATGACGGAGTGCTCCATCTTTGCAGGATTCATGAAAAAGTTGCTCTGTTAAAATAAATAAGTAGGGGAAACAAAAGGACGAGAACCCACACAGCAAAATAACCCAACAGTTTCGAATTTTCGCTTTCCAGGGAATATATAGTATCTTGTTGCCACTCTACTTTTGCTGTGCGATATTTAAGAGCAAATATAGAGGGTGTAAGAAGCCTTTGCAGACCTCGCAAATCCTGATTTTCCCGATTGAGTTTACAAAGAGCTTTACTGTGTTCCTCTTCCTAGAGAAGGCGAAAAAGCAATTTAAAAACCGCGTGCTCACACCTTTGGTTAGCAACCAGAGCTTTTATTTCCAGTAAATGTTTTCTTTTCAGTTTCTCTATATATTTCTGTCAAGTACTCAGTATTAGGCTAACCAGTTATCGAAAAAGTAAGAAAAAGCCCCCCCCCCCTCCGAGGAACCTTACTAGCGCTCAAAATGGTTTTAGGGGGCTTATCTCTTTCAAGAAGCTTCTGAACAGTAATGCAGAGCCCCTCTACTTTTTCATCGGCGGAAGTTTTATAGCAACAAAGTTCTTCCACCCGTTTATTAAGTTCCACAGTTTTCTAAAAGGCCGGTGGTAAGCGAGTCCCATTGAATAATATACAGTGGAACGGTGACCGCTTTGTAATTTTCAACAGAATCCTCCAGTGTATTGCTGAGCTGCCAGATATAATAAAGTGGGGTTATTTAGCCTCCGACCAGTAAAAAGGATAGCGAACTCTTTCGCTGAGAGCGCCCTCTCCGGTGAGTTCTAAAAAGTCTCTCTCGCTGGACCGCGGGGAAGAAGGGCGTTCTGCTCCGCACGCTCAACGTCAAACTCTAAAACACACCGATAATAGTCTAATAAACAAAAGTGACCAGCTTTGAGGGACTCCAGTTCGCGTTGCAGGATGCGTATTTCCTCTTTTGCAGAGACAAGCAGTTTTGTGAGTTCAAATTTGGTGAGAAGTTTATTCACTTTAGCTGTATTCCTTATTTTCTTAGCTCTGATACCAATATAGTAACACCAAGCTAAAATGATAGCGGCTCTCATATAGTTGTGCCTGCTGCCGAAACGCAAAGAGGAGGATGTCTCGCACGCATTGTCGATAGAAGGGGAGCAGGTGATGAGGATGGTGGTACGGGCATTACCGCCTAAACTTTCCTGTAATATTCTGGTCAGCTTGCTATCCCGATAAGGCACGTGAACAGACTAAAAAAGTGGGCTATAATAGGCACAGACCCACTTGTAAAGACGCGTCACCTTATCGTCTGTGAGATGGTAGATCACCAGCCCGAGAGTCGAAAGAGACTTGTTAATAGCCTTTACCTCTTCAAGTGAAAGACCCTGCGCCTCTGATTTACTAACCTACAAAAAGATTTTAAAACATCATATAAGGGGCTTGTAAAGGAAGTCACCTTCTCTGAACCCGCAAGATCTACCAAAGACAGCCGACCTACTTTGGTAGAACCCTGTTCGGCATCCTTCTGGGATACCGTTATCAATAATACAGAGTGGCTGCGACTGCTACTTATATTCATTCCTTTTGAAAGAGTCGCAAGTGCTCAGAGAGAGAGACAAAGAACTCCAAACTTACTTGTGGGAGAAGATTTACGGTTAGCCAGGCCCTTTTTAATTAGAGCCATGACCTCGGAGACCGAACTGACATATAATTCAGTGGCATCTTTTATATAAACACCTTTTTCGCTATTCTCGTGCACCGATAAGTTAGTTTTCTCGACTTCATTAGTTTAAGCGGAAATTTGTAGAGGGTAAAAAAGCAGTTTAACAAAATAAAAAGAAACAAAGAAGAGAAACAAAAAAAAAGTGACTAAAAGAAAAACGTGTACTGTCCAGTAAGTCTCTAATTTTTTCTAAGTAAATTTCTATAAAAGAAAATTTGACAGAAAACTCCAACGAAACCGGCGCGTACTCCATATAGGTAAATACATTTTCTAAAACTCTGGGAATAACACCTCTATAGTTGTAATCTTCAATATTAGATCCCTGTTAATATAAGATAGGAGTAAAAAGTGAAGTAGTAAAGTGGCTATGCAGGAAAATATAAAAACAGGCGAAACTTTCACGTACAAACATAGTAAAAGACTTTCCACTTGAGGTCTGTCCTGCAAATGATTATTAAGTTAACAAAATAAACGGATATAAAAAAACAACCAACGAAGTAAGAAAGCGTACCATAAGCGAATACTGTCCCTGAAATTAAGAAATAATTATAAAGTAGAAATTAATAAAGAGGTCATTAACCATTATAGCCCGCTAGTATATCTACTGGGTTCATATATATTGTGGCATTAATAAATATAATGCAAAACATAAATCTCTAACGACCTTCTACAACGTTTTTGGCCGCTTTATCAAACACCTCCGACTGTGTAGAATGAGATGCAAAAATGTGATCAAAGATGAAAGGCGTGGAATTATCCTTTAGAACAGGTAGATAAGTTAAATAAAAATAACAACTTTACATAAGGATGACTTTTAGTAGTACGGTGGTATTATCTACAAAGTGAACGCACAGATTTTTATTAGAGTTTATTTCCGAATTGTTTAAAGGGCGGAATCTATTTTAGTGCTCTATAAAAAAAACTTTTATTTGAACAATAAAAACATACCGAACCATAACTTTAATATTTGAAGTCATTAGTTGGTTTTTTTTTAAAAAATTTGGTCTTCAAATTTCACAAGCTCTTATGTGTGGATATTTGATTATATTGGACGATAGAAGGGACCTTCTAAATCGATTACATGCTAGCTGATTACTTCGACTAGTGTAATGCCAGTGTCCGGGGGGAAACTATGCGGGCTTCGATTCTCATTTATTTATTAATAGCTTCTCCTGATGCTCGATCAAGTCAATACTTTTAGAGCCCACTAACGCAAATAGCCTACCCATTTATACTAATTGGGGTTACGAGTAATCCTTTGTAATATTATACTATTTGTTCAAAATAATTGCAATTCTTATGTTAATGAACTTGTATTAAAACCACAAACTTTAAATGGCAGTCGACGGGAACAACCTCATTTTTCGTGAGTTCCTCCGCTAAAAGATAATTAGTGTGTCCAGCCATCTAATCATTAGAGCTTAGGCCCTAATCTTACAAATTCCACTTCATGCACATCTAAGTGTGTTTGTTTACTGCAGTCATTCCAAGTAGCGAGGGGCTAGTACATGTCATTAGTTACTACTTCAACCTTAGTAGACCTAAAAATATACTAATAAATTAATTTAACAGCTAGCAACTAAATTCTACAATTTAAACAAGGTTAAATACCATAGCTGTAGTGCTAATTCGTTTTACATTATTAGAGTTAAAAATGCTTCACACCAATGTCGAGTGTTGTGCTCACTCTACACCTTTAATAAACTTTGCCTCAACGACTAACGCGAGGTATAAACTATAGATGAGAGACCCACCCACCGCACACCCCGAGGACCAGAACCAACGAAGGGGCCTCGAATCTTTTAGTAGGGCTTTTATATATACTTTTAAAAAGTGTGAACGTGTTATTGTTTGGTATGATGGTACGTAATTTGATATCATTATATGGGGCCTTATTCTTTTTTAATCAAGCTTACAATTTCGAACATTTTTATAATTACGAGACGCAGGTGTGTCGTGGGGAGCCTATGCTCATCTCGTGATAATTATAGCTAATAACGGTTACATAAAAACCAGATGATTCATCTAATGCTTTTTAAATTAGCGTATAAATACTTGTATAACGGCGCCTTAACCTTACTTTTGCTATACGGGTATAGACGTTAAGCAATTCAATACCTGTTTCTGCTTCTGTTTTACTTCCACTTCATTGGCGTAGGCGCTATAGTTAATATATATTATACTACGCGTACTGAGAGCAAGAATTAACACGTACTATGAAAGTATATAGTTCTCGCCGGGTGTTTTACTCGTCACATTAAATGAACTGTAGCACATATGTTATACTAAACAGAAATATAATTAATTTTTTTTTGATAGTGGGGCCGCACTTCACCTAAAAAAATTGAAGTGATAACTCAATATCTTACAAAATTACTTTTTTTCTTTTGAGGTGAGTTTCCTATCTATTAATGAAACCAAATCTAGAGATTTTCAAATCCGATTGAAAAGAATATACATTTCATTTCCCAGGAAAGAAACAATTCCTAGGATAGGCCTTTTAAACTAAGTATCAGCTTGAGCCAAAATTTTGGACTAAGCTATTTTAAATTACAGTGATAGCACTTTAACAACTTATCTCTTCAGAGGCCTCTACTCTTACAGAATACGTAAATTAACGATAAAGCTATAACTGAAATTGACTTCTAAAACGGTTTTCTTTATTTTTAATGAGCTTTCATCTTGTATGCAAGTCGATAAGATAATAAGATAAATTCCTTAAGTTTAACTACTTGAATTTCTATCAATAATATCAATAGGCCTTTATCCTTGCAGTTATTAATTGCCATAAGGTTGGTTTAACTAAGTTTATCAGGACGCCATGATCGCTGGTTATTTTAATAGCTTGAATTCGTAACATCTTTAGGGGCCTTACTTTAAATGCGTCAGCAACTTTTTATTAATTAACTCTGTAAGCTATATTTTGTTAAATTTATGTAATTCACATTATTATTTGAATGGTTTTACAGTTTGTACTTTATTCTATTCTACGAGTAATTACTTTTTAACCCATACATACTACCAAATTGACCAGTCAACGTTAACAATTTTTTATAACCACAAGTAGTTCCTCTCAAAAGAGGACTTTAACAACTTCACCGAATTCAACGCAGTTAACATTGTTAAAATTTTAGATTTTTTAAGTTCAGTCATAAAAACCAAAGAAAACAATTTTTTAATTTTTAGGACTTCAAGGCTATTGACAATAGGCAAAAAAAAAACGAGCACCACCGGTAATGATTATATTTTAATAAAAAATAATCCGACAGTACTTTTTAAGTTATTCTCCCGAAAAATAATTGTAATCTAAGTAGTCATAACCTTTATAAAAGGTTGTAGTCCCTAAGATCCGGTAGGACCAATTTTTCCTGCGCGCGGTAAAGTGGATCATCTCGTCAAATTAATTTTATATTACCTTTTTTTATCCAATTATAAAATACTAAAACAATATTTTAAATTTTTTATTTATAAAAATAAATGCAAGCTAAAAATTTTTTTAATAAAAAAGGCTAGAAGTTTACTTTTTACAATCTTGGCCCCCCAACTTTTTTTTGGTTTATGCTACATTATTAAAGCACGCCCTGCTACGCTACTAAACTCAAGGAGAGTGGTCGTATGTTGCTCGTTATACCTAAAGTAAGACCTCCAACAAAATCCTAAAAGCTTCTTAGAAAGTAGTATATAAATACAAATAAATAACGTTTGATAATCTCTACAATGTAAAGCTTAACAAAAATATAAATTGGGTTAATCCCCTCTTCTGCAAGGGTTGGAACACGAGTGCCCATCAGTGTACGCACTTTAGAGAGCTAAAATGACTGTCCGAAGAACTGAAAAAGGGGAAAATATCGGGCTCGGATTGCCATACTACCCAGTGTGGTGGAAAACCGTTAAACCGCTAAAAACCAGCGCCGACAGAGGCGGCCTTAGGCGCAAGACCCGAGTTCCCGTGGAGACACCAGTCAGTACCACTGCTAGCCAGGCCTCCCCGACTATGAGCCCCTCACCAGAAAGGGAGGGGCCCTCTAACATATTATATAAATAACTATAAAATATAAAGAATGTATATGTATAAAGGTAACGATAGAAAATAGTCTACTTCGCCAATCGACTAGAAGATCAGTGTAGAAGCACTAAGGGATTTCCTGAATAACAAGAGCATATTACGCTTCTAAACTGTAAACTGCCTTTTACGCTTCAATTTAGGATTAGCCACTTCCTGGAACTGGGATCTAACCGAGAAATAATTTCAATTTTAAAAAAATTTGTATTTGGTCCATGGTAACCGTTGTGCTGTGTCATGTAAATTAGTTATAGTTGGGTTGTTATATTCGCATAATGGGACTCTGTCAAAATGACACTACTTACAATCATTTTATAATAAATGGTTTACTCACCAAACATTTAGAAAGGATATCCGCTAACATTTCAGTTGTTGAACATTATTCTAGTTTAATAACCATTTTTCTCAATTTTATCTCTAATAAACTGATATCCAATATCTATATGGCGTGAAGTTATAGTGCCACATCTGTTAGGAACCAGGTGAATCAAAGGTTGATCATCTACCTTAATCATCAAGGTGTACTCAATTATAAACCCAAGTTCACCTGAAATAGTTTTGATCCATACAACATATTTAACAGTGGCGACTAACGAGATATACCAAGCTTCCGCTGAAGATGTCGCAATAATTTCTTGTGTTTAGATTCGCAGACCACGGGAAGATTATAAATTTTTTAAGTATAAAAATTCTGGACTAGATTGTCGATCGTGTCCAGACCCATAAATCGCATCGGAATAAATATCAACCATGAGTTTATCCCCCTCTATAGCGTTAAGGCGAAAATTTATTCTCGAATTTAGTTATTTTATTATTGATTTTGCTACCTTTCATTACTTCTCACCTAGGTATTCATGGGTATTGAGAGTTTGTTGATGACTGTTTGAATATCGGATCTCGTACAGCACGCTGGAAACTGTAAGGACCTATTAGTTCCTGATAAGGGCAGTCAAAGGTAACGTTCTCCTTGAGGTCAACATGCTCATCGTTTAGTGGATATTTTTGGGTTTTGCAATCTTCCATCTCATTGTCAATTAAAAATCTTTTTTTTTGATATAATATATTTGGTCTACTCGAAAACACTGGGAGAGCATTTTTAAAATACATTTCAGTCCATGAGCTTGTGGAAACTTCCTTTAAAATCAGTATCCAACGAACCTTCTGTATGTTACTAAAAAAAAAAACGTTAAAATCGACAACACAGTAAGCATAATTGCTTTAAATTTTACGCTTACGTTTACAAATACTTATGGTTCTGACTTCAATTTTCTTTGGCTTTCGACACAAAATTTCTAAATCAAAGCAATCCTGCTTGTTTTGTGCCATACAGTGCCTTTTGCAATTGTAAGCAGCATCTCTCGCTTTGACTCTGAGTGGTTAGGAGTCGAGGGCTTCGATCAAAATTCCGTTGTAACCCACTCTATTAGAATTTTTAAAAGCGAGGTTAAATACGAGAAGCCAACAAAAACTAAAAAAGAGAATCGCATCGGTGGGAATCGAATCCACCAGCTTGAGTATGGGCGTCAAAGCTCTTAACCGCTGAGCTACGTCGGTAACTCTTGAGCCCGGTATGACGGTTTTACTTATTTAACCTGTTAGACTCGATTATATAATTTCTGGATTTAACGACTATTCGAGAAGCTAAATCATAGATCTTTATGCACCCGCCTCAGGAGTCTAAAGTGGGTCTAAGCAAAATTCCTTCTTTTGAATTCGGGGTCATTTACCAGCTTGTTTTCATCTATAGTAAGCAAGTGAACCGAAGGTATCAAGGTTATCAATTTCGCTTTCATTTTTCCCAACTTCCTGAAAAACGTTAATAATGAACGCTGCGTAGCTTCGGTCATCTCTTAAAGTATGCCTTTATAGCGTTCAGTAAGAGGATTGTGAAATCGTACGCTCGTAGCATATGTCTATAAATAGGATATATTAAACTCAGCTCCGCTTCCCGAGTGTATACTCAACTTCGTACCCGTAGTAAAATGTTTTGTCTAAAAAAAATTAGAGAATTATATGGGA